AAGGGTTAAGTAACAAGGGATATATGGGATCAATTATTCTACCAACATCTAAAAAGTCCATAATTGTGAATTTTAAAAACAAAACATGCTGTCGCACTAGGGCCGCGTTCCCGCGGCGTTCATGCGCAGCTGAGCGAAGAACGATCGCAAAACATCTCAAGTATACGTTGCAGGATTGCATATAAGAGTATCTGTACACTTAAACGAACCCTTGAAATGGGATCAATTTATTAATTCTTACGAATTTTGACCGAAAATTTACAATGGTGAAATTAAACGAATGGTTAACAGTGGGGAAATATTTATTACGAATGCTTCACGAGTTTGGACGAACTATTACCATTTAAAATGCGTGTAATCTTGCAAAAACTCGACGGTTTAGGAGCGGAAATATGCGATCTTAAACGAACCTTTTGAATACTTACGAAGTTGTTTAAAGCATTTGCCATTTCGACTGTATCACTATTACAGAAAAAGGGATGTTATTCTGAAGAAAATGTAAAAGTAGCAAATTTGCATAACAGGCCTTGTGGTGCATTAATTGTCCTTTGTATCTTAGTTTGGAGACCTTTCTGTTGAAAATGTGTCCGGGTTAAATCGTATACATATACATGCACAGTGCGTTAACTGGGGTGCGGTTATTAGTTACCCGCACTCCAGAGCATGCCCATTGATTGGCTCAATTTTGCTGGGGTTTACATATTGTGACGGCAGAGAAAGGGAAAGGGACAGAAATGTCATATTCAGATGTTCGTTCATTGGTTCATTTTTGCCGGGGTTTCATATTGTGACAACAGGGAATTGACTATGATACAAAAGAGAAAGAACACCAAAACACTCGGCAATCTGACTAATACTCGGGGGCTACGCCCCCTCGTACAAATCAGATAGCCTCGTGTTTCGGTGCTCTTTCTATTACATATTAAACCATATACCAGAAAACAGAAAGATTTATAAGATAAGTAAATATGTTGAAAAGAGCTATTAATGTATGACTTATGTTATTTCAAATTTAGTATAATCTTATGCTCCACACCAGTTTATATGTCCCAATATAGTATGTATTTTTTTCAGGAACAACTTTCTGATGTGCTTGTCAACACTTAGAAGTATAATAAGGCAAGTTCTGACTTGTTGTTGTGTAAGTTTGTCATAGCTTCTGACAGCAACATGTTTTTTCTCATGTTCATAGCAGCAAATGTAAGGTGCTAAGTGGCACTAAAAATAAGCAGAGGTTCATTCGAGTGCTTATATATTTTTCTAGTCCTTCCCAATACTTAAAGGGGCTTCAAGGAAGTTTTTTGCCATTATAGGACTAGAAATATTTTTTGTAGATAAATATACCATTTGATGTGGGTGTAGATATACAAGTATATAACTTGTGTGTAAAATTTAAGATCAATCGCTCAGTCCGTTTTCAAAAATAATTATTCCGATTGTAAATATGACTCAAAAATTGAAATGTGTTATAACGCTTTTAACTCAATCGGGCTAAGAATAGCAAAAAGTACGATTGTTTTATTTATTTCCGAGAATATGTCTTTATCAATTTTGCATATCTCTCTGTTTCATGCTTCCAAACTGATTTATGTAAAGACATTCCAGTTGTATGTTTTTAGGCTTTTGGACCTCAGTGCATTTCCTGTAAATCTGGAGTGAATAACATTTTTTTCTGTAGGCATAAAAACCAAACATTCTACAGTTACATTAACCCTTTAAACAGTATTGTAGTAAAACTCATCAAATATCGTTCATACATTATCAATGAAGACTATAATTTGCCCGTGTACGAGTATTGTTTGATTTTATTAACCTGTCAGATAAAGCCCGTCTCACACAAAACACGGTTGGACACACGATTCACGGTATACTCGGTTATACACGGGTTGACTGGTACGAGTTTTGAGCTCCAACCGTGCTTGTGGTTTAGTTGGCACGAATTAGACTCGAATATAACACGAGTATGTACGAATTGAGCACGGATATACTCGGTCAAACAAGGTTTGAACACGATTTGCATACGAATACATACGACTGTTGAACGGTTCCAAGTACGGTCTAGTACGGTCTGGTACGATAAAACACGACTTTTACTCGATTTACTCGACTTTCACAGGGTTTACATAGGGTCCCGCCGACTTCTGTTCGAGTTAGGCTCGAAATATCACACATTTGTGTATGTTTTGATATTGTTTAACCCATTTTGATGACTTGGCTTCATTAATTTTCGAAATTTCATCGAAGAACACTTATATATAGATCAATATAATACTGCACGTTTGTAAAGTCGCTTTTCATTGGATAATCGTGACGTTTATATATTTTTATACACACGGCTGTTGTCGATTTATAAAGAAATCTCGCTTTATTCCTCTAAAAATGATGCCTAGCGGCTCGGGTTATATTTAGAAACAGCCGTTTATATAAGGCCATATAACCTGTCAAAAATCTTTATGACTAATATTAACACCAATAAATGAAGAAAAAATGAAGCAATGTAAAATGAATGTGTCTTTTTTCTGTTGTGTAGCGGTTGCTTGAGGGTGGCCCGAGTGTAACTCGGAAAACGCTACGGTACGTTCGGTTGTATGTACGGTTTACACGGGTGGCCAACCGTGTAAGCCGTGTGTCCTGTGTGAGATGGGCTTTACATACTGGTCATATGGCCAATCCACACAATATATAGAGGATATTCAAGTTTGTTTTTTTCTTTAAATACAGGATTTATCTTCATCGAGTGGTATGAACAGAAATATTTCAAGGGTGGCGGTAGCCACGAGTGAAATATCAAAATTTTCATACCACAAGATAAATCCTGTAATTACAGTATAGAAAAAAAACTTGAATTTTCTGTTTATTATGTACATTTTCCTCTTCTTTTTTTGACATAACAATTTGAAAGACTTTCCCTTAAATTTTGTGTCCTAGCAGAATTGAGATAAAAAAAAGTAGTCTGCCAAGACACCAGTGAATGTTCGGAAAATATGTTTCACTGCAGTGAAAAATATTTTTTTACAGTGAAAATACGGAAAATGAAAATATGCATTTTATTGCATCAATATTTCTGAATATTTCATTTATAAGTGTATTATAAATAAGGCCCCCATGCACGATTACAGGTTTAAACGGATTCGTTTCGATTTTCATTAGTGAACGTTTACGATATTTTCAACCGTTTAATCGAAATGACCATATTGTCTTTTAAACTTTCTTAATCATTGCCTATTATCATTGATTTTATCAATTCTAGTGGTTTATTCCAAAGTAAAAAAAAAACAAAAAATGGATGTGTACAACCCTCCACACAGCATTTCGGCGCAAAAATTGCTCATGACATAAATAAAAGATACACAAAAAAAATATGTGCTGACTCAATCGTGATGAGCCCTGGACATTCTTTATTTGTACATGTATTAAAAATAGAAAGTAAGTCATCATTTGGCGACATAAATATATGGTGTATAAAGTACCTAGAGGTATTTCGGTTCTTAGCAATCGTGTAAACGTTTACAAAAAAAATGTAAACGTGGGAGCCTTAATTATAAACCAATCTTCGATGTGAGATGTACGCAGTAAGATGTGATTTAATTTGTGTCTATTATAGATTATACCCAGCGTTGTAGCGCAATAGGGTAAACTACTTAAACTACAAGGACAGGACCGAAGTGAGACCGATTATTTAAATAAATGCTAAAATATATTTATAACTGACAAGTCAATAAAATCAGACTATCCATACCCCTACTAAACGCTTGCTCTTTCACATTTGGTGATCTGTTTAAATTGAAGCCTTCGACACTTCTCGACCAAAACAAAGCTGGAAAGGGTAAACACTGTTTAAAAATCCGTTTTTAAAGAATATGCATATTTTTTCGAAAAATCGAAGAATGCCTTGCCACGTAGAATATTTATTTCATCACTTTTGGATGCAATTTCGAAACGAAGCAGCCAAAATGACGTTGCTAGATTTTTTACCAAATGTACACTTGTTTGTTTTCTTTTATATAGACATATCTTTAGGGATTTTAGGTATAGATAGGCCAAAATTAATTGAGGTAGGTTCAAAAATATTTATTGACATATACCACATTATCGAGTCTTATTGAATGGTCGTGTTGGCCCTATCACATATGCGACGGCTTTTTCACGATGCCGATGGCGCCAGCACCTTGTCGATGGCTCGATCACATCTGAATAAATGGTAGCATTTTAGTTTTTAACAAAGCTTCTTAAATTATTCTTGTGTTGAGCCAAAGGGGAGGTTGGAACAATGTTACCTGACGATTAAGTTGATAAACATTAACTTCATGCAAGAGTAATCACTACATATATGTGAGTTGATATTTGTTTGAATTTCTAGCAATGTCATTTTGGGGGATTTCATATCGAAACTGCATCCCAAGTGATGAGATAAAATGTTCTACGAGGCAAAGCATACTTCGATTTTTGAAAAACAAGCATATTCTTTAAAATGAATATTTTTTGAAACTTTGTTTATCTCAGTCACCTTTGTTTTGGCGGAGGGCTCTCATCAAAATGTGAAAGAGCCACCGTTTAGTAGGGGTGGTTCCTTATGAACGCAGAGGAACGCGCTGAAAGCTCCGTGACGCCGCCGAGATATATTCATGTAATGAAAATTATCAGACGTGGAAACAGGGTATAAAGTGTGACAGGGGATTTAATTAAAGGAAAAGGTGGTCACAAGGATATGAAAATAATGTGGAACATTTTGTACATGATACTTGTTAGTTCCTAAATATTATTAGATTGCCATAAAAAATCATCAATATTTCCATGGTCATTGATCGGACAAACCTCACTGGGTCAGTGAGCTTGTGTAAATAATTTGAATAATTTTGCTTATGAGCTGGCAAGTTGGAAACAAGATAGGACTTTCTCACAAGAAATATTTCCAACTGTCATTTTTCCCAAGAGTGCATACGAGCATGCACTTTTAAAAAAAAAAATTAAGCTTTATTGTATATATATGTAATACAAACCTTGCAGGCTTCACACGTGTTTACGCCATAATGAAATCCCGAAGCTTTCCCGCCGCATACACGACATGGTGGTAGTAAGGGCGGCCTTGAACCAACTGTTTCCTTTTTATCCACACAAGTGACGTCATGGCAATCCATAATGTAATTTCACTTGAAAAGAATATTTAATTTTTAATTCATCTCACTATTTGTCAAATATATTGTTACTGTGATTTTATTAAAAAAAACAAAAACAGACAAAAAATCTGTTTCGCTACACTTTAAAACACGTCTATATAATGTATGGCTGCTCTGTCAGAGGACATATTTTATATGACTGATATTCGCGATTATTTTAGCAGCAATTAACAGCCGATATCTATGATAAATGTCATTTTTCATAAGATGACATACGCCTTGAACGAAAGAGCAATCGCAACTTTTCGGCCCTTTCCGTCAGTCTTCGGAAGTGGACCTCGAACACATTAGTATGAATGAATACACAGAACGGATAAGGTATTTCTTTCTAACATAGTTATTACGCCAAGGAACTAAACATGTAAACAAATATGAAAATTAATGCTAAGAGTTGTTTGCAAATTGTTTTTTTTTCCAATATATCAAGTAAAAGTCCACAATGAATTAGTAAATTCATAGATATACAAATTATTATGGTTGCAGAAACCGAACGTACAAAATGCAAAAACGTGCATCAGTGGGCATATTTAAATTAAAAATGGTTTTCAGACATACTTTCAATCATGATTGTATGGAAACAGATTTTATTTTCCTTTGGATGTTAAAAATATACATTCGTTTTGCATTAACGATAATGTCTGTTTCTGATTTCATCTGAAACCACATGGTCCTTATTAACTCCGAGGTTATTATGAATAATAGACGTGCCAATTGTCTGAAACCGTACAGCATGCTATTTTGGTGTCATTAAGAAATTTTTCTCAAAACGATTTTGTCATTGCCAAATTGGCCGTGTAGTCAACAACTTCCCGGCAAATGACTGACAAAATTCTGTATCAGTGATTAATCATCACATTTATAAAGCGCTTCCTTTCAATGAAATATCACAAGTTTGTATTTCTTTGAATACTGTGTACCTATGTCATACACCACTTTTTTCAACGTCTTTTGCCGACCAATGAAATCGCTTCAATTAAAAAAATGCTCTTCTTAAAATTGTATAGACAGGCAAATTTTGTCACTTATTTATTAAAGGGTATAAATCTATATCTTATGAAATATTTAAATGAACAGTAGAATTATATGGTTGACTCCCTCAAAAGTTGTAACATAGAATATCTTAGTTATTTAAAACACATGATTTATGTACATAAACAGAATAAAATGTTCCGGAACAAAATATTATTTGTTATTAATTTTAAGTAGGGTTTTATCCGTTTAGCATGCGCTATTCGCTTTTAAGCAAGGCAATAATTTACCACAAGTATTTTGGAAGTATACTTTTTTAAAATTCAAACAATAATTTTTGCATCAGATATATAGCTTTATACACTTAAATAATTAAGAGTTAATTACATGTACACATGCACATGAAGGGTAAAGTTTCAACCCTCTGCTTACTGTTTAATGGTTATTTCAGCATATTTCACATATACAGTGATGTTGATCATTATTCCTGTAAAGTTGGTTGATTCTTACTCAAGCACTCGAGGAACAATTAACACAACATAATGGAACTGTTTTCACTAAGTCAAAGGCAATAAATATGACAAAACAGAATAAATCCACAAGTGAAACCCCAGGTGCACTACTACACATACTGAGCAACTTTCCTGTAAAGTATCATGACACTAGATCAAATACGTTTTGAGTAACGTGCGACACAAGTTGAAAATCGTAAATTTTTACTAAGTCAAGGACAATAACTCTAAAAATACTAAATAGAACCACACAAAAATACCCAGGTGCACTACTACACATGCTGTTCAACATTCCTGTAAAGTTTCATGACACTAAGTCAAGCACTTTTTGAGTTACGTGCGACACAAGTTGAAAATTGTAAATTTTTACTAAGTCAGGGGAAATAACTCTAAAAATACTAAATCCACACGAAATACCCAGGTGCATAACTACACATGCTGATCAACATTTGTATAAAGTTTCATGACACTAGATCAAATACGTTTTGAGTTGCGTGCGACACAAGTTGAAAATTGTACATTTTTACTAAGTCTAACTATAAAAAATACTGAATATATCCACACAAAAATACGCAGGTGCACAACTACACATGCTGATCAACATTCATGACTCTACGTCAAATACTGTTTGAGTAACGTGCGACACAAATTGAAAAAATTGTAATATTTTACTAAATCAAGGGCAATAACTCTAAAAATACTGAATATATCCGCACGAAAATACCCAGGTGCACAACTACACATGCTGATCAACATTCCTGTAGAGTTTCATGACTAAGTCAAATACTTTTTGAGCTACGTGCGACACAAAAGAGAACGGACGGACGGACGGACAGACAGATGTAGGACAAGGGTAAATCTAATTGACCCCCCCCCCCCTAAAATGGGGGCAAAAAAGACTATCGTTAAAGTTTCCGGTCCTCAATGGCATCGGCAACGTCAAAGACAACATGACTATAACATTTAACGTTCTGTCTCTTTTTTTTTCTTAAAAAAGTCAAGCTTACAGTTTTTATCTGCTGAGTTGCGTATGTATAAAATAGGTTCAATGATCTCAGTTTTTATTAGCCTTGAAATAGAAGGAAGAAAGTCAAACATCTTTTAATTCAAACAATAAAACTAGAAACTATTTGAGTATATCGTGTGACAGTATATTAGTTCACGTGTTAATTTACATCAAGTGTCACGTTACTTCTCTAAAAGTAATGATGGTATTACAGTTTTCAGAATCATAGAATATATTAAAATAAACATTTGTAGTAAAAAATGTGGGTCACCGATCTCGTTCAAACTTGTTTAGGTATCTGTCCTTGATCTCAATTTCATATGGAATACCATAACTCGTGATCACGACATAGTATCTCGTGCGCACGAGATAAATAAAAACGCACACATGTCGCCTTTGTGCCAACGTACATAAAACATTTTTGTTTCCTTTTTCAGATATAGAAGAGACTGAAATGTGTTCGCAAAATGATCTTCTTTGTTAAAGGAATTGAAAATCCATATTTTTTCACAAAATGTTTCTGTTGACCAAAAATGTAAGACAATGTTAAGTTTAAATAAATTCAATGAAAGAATTCATTCCGTTTCGTATAAAATTTGTAGCGAACATCTGCAAATAACTATACCAAACTAAAATAGTACAAAAAACACAACACACAAAGCAATATTTACCTGTATTGTACATGTAATCCCGTTATTCTATTGTTGGAAGCCAATAAATCCCTATTCACCGTGTTTGCATTAAATAAATACAGTACTAACAAGTCGACACGGTTCCTATGGAGCAAAATTGATTTATAGGTTATTATTTATATACCTACGGAACATATATGCTTAATATGCTGTAAGCTTTTCAGATCTATAAAAGCCTATAATTAATATTTCTACTCTCTTTCTGTAACGTTAGTACGTGTAGAATTATGGGTGTGGTTAGTGGGAAGAAAATTTTAGAGGTGGGGTTATTCGGAACATTTTTCGCTTATAGTCCTTATTTAAAGTAGTACTGAGATTGTGTTAAGTGTATGTACAACGAAGGGTAATGTAAGTGAATGTAAAATTAAAGATGGAATTAGTGGATGTAAAATTAAGGGTGGGATTAGTGGCTGTAAAATTAAGGGTGGTAATCGTGGATGTAAAATTAAGAGTGGGATTAGTGGATGTAAAATTAAGGGTGGTTTTCGTGGATGTAAAATTAAGGGTAGAATGACTGGATGTATAATTAAGGATGGAATTCGTGGATGTCAAATTAAGGGTAGGATTCGTGGATGTAAAATTAAGGATGGAATTCGTGAATGTAAAATTAAGGCTGGTATTCGTGGAGGTAAAATTAAGGGTTGGATTCGTTGATGTAAAATGAAGGGTGAGATTCACGGATGTTAAATTATTGGTGGGGTTCGTGGTTGTAAAATTAAGGGTAGGATTCGTGGATGTTAAATTAAGGGGCTCCTTGGATGTAAAATTAAGGTAGGACTTCTTGGATGTAAAATTGATTAAGGGTGGCCTCTTGGATGTAAAATCAAGGGTGGCATTCGTGGATGCAAAAATATTGGTGGGATTCTTGGATGTAAAAGTAAAGGTGGCATTCCCAAATTAGTATCGGGGTGATTTTCTAACTCAATATACTAATTTGCTACTACAAAATTAATGTACTCATAATGTACTTATAAACAGCATTAAAGACACGACACTTAAATAAGTGGTCAGAAAATTATGGGAGTTCAGGTTAAGGTCCACTTTATCGAATGCAATCTGTATTTACGTGTATAAATGTCCTAAATTTTGACTGACCTCGATTTTAATCTCTGTAAAATTATGTCATACTACAATGATGTAAGTTCTGTGACATTTTTCTAATCTCCAATACCGCTTTTAATACTGTAGTATAGGTTTTAGTAAAACATTGGTGATTATTAAACCAAAGTTGTTTTTAGTGTTTACTATAATAATTGATACGCTTACATGTACAATGATCTAAAAATATACATGTATATTGGTTTGCAATTTAACCTTTAGCCTAAGGGGGAAGTGGGGAAACTTAATACTGGATATATACATGACCAAAACCAGCCGTTGATCATGGACGGCACTGTTTGCTTTTCAGTCAGTACTTACTTTGAAAAGGTCGCTAATAATTTAAATGGTTTTGATGGACAAGTCCATTTAAGATATTTAGCGTGGCAAAATTGTACGATATGTACACAATGCTAATAAAAGTAATCTCTATTTTACAAATTCAATTACTATTTACTTTTGACTCATCAATATTCCAATTTAAACTTGTTTTCAGATCTTAGTCTACTTAAATTTGGGTCTCTGATATGCTCTCGTATGCTACGCGTGAACAGTAGAATAATTATCTCAAATATAATCTCTTAAGCATATGGAATCTAAGAGAAATTTTAATAAAGAATTTGTTAAATGAAAAATATACTTGCTTTCTAAAACTTTATCGACAGTGTATATGCATTCTTTTTTCAATATCACTGATAATTTCTATAATTCATAAGTTGAGAAAGCATGAAATAAACATATAATTAACAATGTTTCAATTTTAAACCTATATTAAATTCCGTATACATAATTGTACCTCCTTTTTTAAAGATTCTGTGGTATCAATTGTTCGTTTCCTTATTTCTTTGATAATTTGTTACCTTGACAAGTCAATGTTTATACCGCAGAGTAGTTTGAAAAGAGAAAAATGTAAGTATACATCGATTGAGAAATTCCTGTTCCTTGAACGTTTTAAGAAAAATAAGAATAAAAATCTAAAGAGTCTTGTTTCAAGTAATCGATTTAAGAATTCGGAACATATCGACGACTGTAGATAATAATCTCTGAAATAATACAGATTAAAAATAGTTCCATCACGTGACTTTTGAAGTGAACAAAGAGAGAAGGAAGGAATAACAAACATACCTATTTCACATGTTTTTACTTGTTAGACGCTAATAAGAGAAAATTAAACAGCTCAAAAGTCGCCGTAGGATCGAATGTTTAAAATAGAGCAAATGCCAATGCAAAATAAAGTCTATTTTAGTACATGTAATATGAGAATTGAAAAAATATGCCTGACATGCCCTTTGACATACATTTGTAACTAAATCTGAAATATAATAAACAACACATATCCTACACTTTCATAAAAACACAATACTTAGTATATAATTTAAAGCGGCATTATTTTCAATTTTTTCCTTGTCAAGTAAAGTTGAATTTGCTGTATATTTCAAAAGATCGACTGTTGACATTGGAAAATGTTAAGGATTAAAATATAAATCTGCCTAAAATATAAAAAGACTGTCTCACACTTTTTTTTCAAATTGAACGTTACAGGTCCGATGGATATATTATAGAGATTTTTAGAGTTATTTATTGTAAGAGATGTAGAGTTATTTCTTTTTTTTTGCGAAGATGATAATAAAATTGAAAGGAATTATGGCAAAATGTAAACTTAATTTACTTACACCTGGTCACTCATTTTCTACCATTTGATTGGAATATTGTCACTTTAATAATAAATAAGTACTTTTCACATTTATACACATGCATTTAATTACTTAAATTCGACTTAAACTGGGTAAGTAGACAGCTCAGAAAGGGTTTAATTCTTGTTCCCTGGCTCAGGACCATAGTTTTTAAGACTAACTAATGGTTTAATCGCAACTTTTTGACCCTTTCCGTCAGTCATCGGACAAGTAATTATTGTAAATAGCCAAGATGTTCCGATGTTTAGTCTGATCCCCTGCGCACTTATAAAGTACTTTTAAATGTTGGCATTTTGAACTTTATGTTTCTATTACCATAGTAATAAATATATAAATAATCTATTGTTTGCTTTTGTTTCTATGGATTACTTTATTTTAGCTGGACTTTTACTTCATATATTGGAAATAAACTTGTATTATACCCCCAGCATTGAATTACTATTAGTTAACATGTTTTGTTTCTTAGCGTAGGTTAGACCGAAATATTTACCGTACCGTTCTTGGAGGTCCTTAGAAAGGATGTATAATCAAGAAAATCATGAAATCGATATGTTAAACGGAAGGTTACAACTTTTTCTATATCATGTTTTCCTTTGCACTTTCTTAATCACCCTTGTTATCATCTCTATTGTCCTTGCAAACAATTTTATTAGTATGGCTTATTTATTATAATTATGTTCGAAGTATCCTGATCTGTAAGCATCACGTATGCATTGATTTAATATAATTTCAGGGTTTGTATATCTTAAGAGAAAACAACAATGTGTTCAAAGAGACAAATTATAACGTTTTTATACCAAACCTAATACATGAATGATATAATATATTATATTGTTCTCAATATTGTGGCCAAACTGGAATTACAAGGAAAATCAGGTCGAAAATGTGTTATTGACAAGCTCGCCAGACTTTCATAATAACATCGTCAAATCGAGATTATGCCTCAGAAATAAAATAAAAAGATTTTATTTCGTAAGAAATGGTAACATGAATTTTATAATGTTAAAAAAATGGTTTTAGAGAACGTGAAATGTTTTTGTCCTGAAGAAAGTAGCGATAAATGTCAATAAATTCAGTAGTATTTTGACTTCCATTAAAAATACTAATTCACTATGACTGTACTTAAAAAGCAACAGATGAAAAAGATGATTCAGGTTATTGGCCAATGAGTATTTTTGATATTGTAAAAGAGCACTCAAATTCAAAAGCTTTTGAGATATAAAAATAAAAGTATTCCGGAGGTAGAATGGGGCTTTAGCAAATAAAGGCCTCTGGTCACTTTAGGCACACCTGGATCTGCATATAGAAATAATTAAACGTGCAGATGTTTAAGAAAAGAAATTATTATCAAGCCGTGATTTCATACTACCCAGTCAGTGGAAAATAAATTATGATTACGACAGATATATAAATGAGCCGCGTCACGATAAAACCAACATAGTGCGTTTGCGACCAACATGGATCCAGACCAGCCTGCGCATCCGCGCAGTCTGATCAGGATCCATGCTGTTCGCTTACCAACTCTTTTACAAGTAGAAAAAGTGATAGCCAACAGCATGGATCCTGATCAGACTGTGCGCATGCGCAGGCTGGTCTGGATCCATGTTGGTCACAAACCCATTATGTTGGTGTTGGTTGACGCGGCTGAAATTATGATTACGCAGGAAAAAATTATTATACTTCACATTGTGAATTCATGAAAAATATAGAATATTTCAATATTGTTCCATCTTTAAAACCGTATCGTGTGTAAATGTCAGTGTAGTGGCTGCCGAGAACTTTTTGAAGGGAAAAAAAACGAAATTCACAATCAATAACAGATTCATTGTTTTCGTTTAAGGTACATTAAGATTTAGAAACAAATAATTTTTTACTTCTTTAGAAAGGGCAAACATGTACTATATAAAGGTTTCAAGGCATGTTAGTTGCCTCTTACGTGAAGAAAAAAGCGCTAAATTTGAAATGTTTCGCCATAACAGTTGCAAAATGTAAACAAAATAGTATTTTGACTGTTATGCAAAATTACAAAATCACTATAACTGTACGCATTTTCAAAAAGCAACCGAAGAAACCGACGGTTTAGGTAATTGGCCAGTGAGTAACTTTTTGGAATGAGCATCGAAACACTAGGCTTTCTGATTTGTACGAGGGGCGTATATGCATGTATATGTATACGATTTAACTCCCCAAACTATGATAAAATTAAAGTAAACTGAAAAATGTCTTGTCAAAAATAAACAACCTTTGAAAAAAACAACATAAACATTTCTGGTTCATAATGGGCCTGAACAAAT